AAGGCCGTGTTGTCCATGAGGACCCTGACTACCTTGCCCTCCAGGTGCAAGCAGAAGGCCATAAATGCCAGCCGCACCGCCCTGAGCTCCTTGATGTTTATATGTAGGGTCAGGTCTTGAGCCAACCACAGGCCTTGGGCCTGAAAGTTCCCCACATGGGCCCCCCAATCCAGGTCCAATGCATCGGACACCAGCTCCAACGACGGGGCTCTGTCCCTAAATGGGACCCCTTGGAGCATGTTGTTTGGGGCGGACCACCGCCGCAGGGAGTCTGGCATGGTGAGGATCTTGTCCATCCTGTCCGTGGCCTGGGAGAACTTTGAGGCCAACCAGAGCTGGAGGGGACTCACCCCCAGTCTGGTGTGACGGACCACGTACGTGCACGCTGACATGTGACCCAAGAGCTGCAGGTAACCCCCGACTGTTGTCACCGGGAACCTTGTGACCAAGTCAATGAGACCTTTCAGGGTCTCGAATCTGTCTGGCGTGAGCGGGGCCCTGGCCAACGCTGCGTCCAAGAGCACCCCAATAAACTCTATGTGTTGAACCAGGACTAATGTGGACTTGGTGTTGTTTACCCACAGGCCTAAGGCGGTGCACGTGGACAGGAGGAGCACCACGTGATCCCTCACCTGCGACCAGGAGATGCCCTTGACAAGCCAATCGTCCAGATAGGGAAATATCTGGACCCCCCCGCTGTCTGAGGTAGGCTGCTACCACTGACATGGATTTTGTAAACACCCTGGGGGCAGTGGACAGACCAAATGGGAGGACCGTGAATTGGTACTGATTCTGTCCCACCACGAAACGGAGGAAGCACCTGTGCCCCTCGAATATGTGGATGTGGAAGTACGCGCCGTGTAGATCGACAGCAGCGTACCAATCCCCGGGATCCAGGGAGGGGATGATGGAGGCTAGGGAAACCATGCGGAACTTGAGTTTCACCGTGTATTGGTTCAGACCTCGCAGGTCCAGGATGGGTCTGAGCCCCCCTTTGGCCTCCAGGATAAGGAAATAATGGGAGTAATACCCCTTGCCCATGAACTCCTCGGGCACTGCCTCTATCGCTCCTAGTTCTAGGAGCCGCCCCACCTCCTGCTTGAGCAGAACTTCGGGCGAGGGGTTCCCCAAGAGGGACAGGGGCAGGAGGTGGTTGGGCAGGGAGGAAGTAAACTGAAGGGTGTAACCCCGGGAGATGGTGTTGACTCATCGGTCTGAGGTTAGCCGCAACCATTTCAGGAGGAAAGCACACAACTGGTTGGAGAAGGGGAGCTTTTTTGGGGGTGGATCCCTGATGAGGACTGGCGGGGTGCCCCTGAGCATCCCATCAAAAGCGCCTTTTCCCCACCTCCTTGCCCTTGGAGGACCCAGGCTTGGGGGCAGGCCAAGACTGCCTCTGAGGGCGTCTCTTATAGTCCAGCTGCTTCTTCTGAGTGGCCTCATACTTTGGGAGAGCGGCCTGGGCGGGAGTCTCCTGCAGCTTGAACTTAGGTTTTGCCAGAGCTGGAATAGAGAGGCCCAGAGTCTGTAGGGTCGTGTGGAAGCCCTTCATGCCATACAGCCTTGTATCTGTTTCTGCCGCCAACAGAGCTTTCCCGTCGAACGAGAGATCCTGCATGGAAGACTGCGCCTCGCCAGACAGCCCAGAGAGCAGGAGCCATGGATCGTGCAGCCGTGTCCGCAGCATCCGAGGCTGCCTGCAGGGACGCCCTAGCAGCCGCTGCCCCTTCCTCCACTAGTGCCTTGAACTCCTTCCTATCGCGCTCCTGGAGGGAGTCCTCAAACTTGGGCAGGGAGCCCCACAGATTGAATTTGTACCGGCCCAGGAGAGCCTGATGGTTTGCCACTCGTAACTGGAAGCTCAAAGACGAATACATTTTCCTTCCGAAAGAGTCCAGTCTCCAAGAGTCTTTGTTCTTTGGGGTCAGGGCTGGCTGACCCTGCTGTTCCCTGTGGCTGACAAACTCGACCACCAGGGAGTTGGGCCCAGGTGAGTATACAAATACTCATGCCCCTTTTAGTGGGTATAAAGTACTTGCATTCTGCCTTCTTAGAGATGGGGGCCAATGAGGCCGGTGTTTGCCACAGGGCATTTGAAATCTTAGCCACCCCTTCCTGGAGGGGCAAAGCCACCCTTCCTGATGCCGACGAGGACAGCACGTTAAACAGGGAGTCTGAGGGCTCCTCCACCTCCTCTGCCTGGAGGTGGAGGCTTGCTGCCACCCTCTAAGTCCTCCTGAGGGGCGGAGGGGGGCAGGGCCGCAAACGCCTCCTCCAGGCGGGGCGAGGAGGCCGGTGCAGTGCTCTGGGTATCAGCTGGCACTGGAGGGTCCACCACCTGGTCGGATTCCGGGCACGGTGCCGAGGACATTCATCCCACTGACTCCTCTCTCGGGTGTCTGGAGAGGGAGGCCAATGATGCTTCCGAAGCTCCAGCCACCGAGCGAGCTCCCACCGGGGGCTGCGCTGGAGGCCATTGTGCCCACTGGTACCATTGGGCCGGCCATGACGCTTGGTGCCACTGCACCTGCTGTGGCACCAGCAGGGCCGGCTGTTCGGGTTGGCTGGCCTGGCCCATCGAAGGACGGCTACGAATGGAGGCCAGGCTGGTGTAAGATCTGCTGATGTCTCTGGACCAGGAGGAACGGCGGTGCCAGGATCTATGTCAGCCACGGGACTGCAATCTCGACGTGGAGGACCGGTACCGACGGTAACAGCTGCTCCGCGAACGGCCTCAACGGGTGGACCCGCGATGGTGAGATGCCGGTTATCAATGCCCAGGGCTGCGATGTCTTGGCGGAGACTTGGAGCGGGAGTCCGAGCAGAAACGGCATCGACGACCGTGCCGTGACCGACTGCAGTACCCCCTCCAAGACAAGAACCGCTGGCGACGCCTGCCGCAGTCCCGTCGATATTCGCTCCTTGAGGACGAGCGGTGCGGAGAGTCCCGGCCAGATGGAACCCAGCCAGACAGTCTGGTCAGCGTCAAGGGTGATCCACATGGATTCTGCCCCGAATGGTCGCTGGGCGGTGAATGGTGTCAGGAACGTTCCCTCGACCGAGGCCAATACCAGGCCATAGGCGACTGCGGAGATCCCAGCGGCGACTTGCCTCTGGAATGTGGGGCCAACATCAGCGGTGCTCCGGGCACCGGCATGGACATAACGTCCCAGGCCGCCTGGAGGGCTTCAGGCGTGGACGGCATCTGGACATCCGGAAAGGCCTGTTCCGAAGGGGCCAGGCTACTCTGCTCAACGTGAGTTGGAGGCCTGGGGCCTGGTGGGGATTGAGGACTGCCTGACATGGGCCTAGCCTCTGTCCCAGACTTCCCATGGTGCTGCTGCGAAGAGGGAGTCTTTCTGGCCCTCTTGGCGTGCCCCGTGGACAGGGATCAGTGCCGACTGGTCGATGGCACCAGTGGGTTGCCATGTGCTGACGCCACGGTGCCAGGTACCAGTTCGGAGCGGCGTGCTGGATCGGGGTCAGCACCGACTCCATCAGGATGGCCCGCAGCCTAATGTCCCTTTCTCTTTTGGTCTGAGGCTTAAACGACTTGCAAATCTTGCACCTTTCGCTGATATAGGTTTCTCCCAAACAGCGCAAACAGTTTGCATGCGGGTCGCTTCTTGGCATAGAACGCCTACAAGAGCCGCAAGACTTAAACCCCAGGGCGCGGGGCATGCCCCAGCCCACTAACTAATTAAACTACAGGTACCAACACTGAACGAATGAACAGTTCTGGGGACAAGCTACAGCAAAGCTGGAGCAGAGTAGTTCCAACGCACCTTCACTGGTGGCAAGAAGAAACTGAGGGTGGGGGAAGCGCGCAGCTCCCCTTATACTGCGCCAGGCAAGCGCCACTTCAGGGGGGAGCTCCCCCGCAATCGGTACTGCTGGGGGGAAAACTTCTGGCACCAGTGCACGTGTCGAGCACGCACACATATTGTGGAATACACATGAGCAATCACTCGAAGAAGAAAAACAGAGTTATTATGCGTCTTCAGTCAATGGCAGCTTGGGTAAGTCAACAGTAATATCAAGCTTAAAGAGAAAAGGCACTTCCAGAGGTTCCTAGTAAGATGAACACATGCTGATAATTTTAACCCTTTTTACAGTAGTTTTACATCTTCACTTGCTAGATGATTCATAGATACTAAGGCCAGAAGGGACCATTGTGATAACCTAGTCTAACAGCCTGTACAGCCTAGGCCATAGAACTTCCCCATTCCTCAAATATCCTAAAGCATATCTTTCAGAAAAACATCTAATCTTGATTTTAAAATTGCCAGTGTTGGAGAATTAATACAGGTATGTAGTTAATTTTAATTTTCTGCTTCTGAGACAACACACTGGTATCCAATGAAATTCAACTAGAAAAACATGTCCACCCATCTGATGGTCACATCAGCCTCCACGTGAACAAACCCTGCCTACCTAAACTAAACCAGTAATGAGACTCAGCAGATTAATTGAATCAAACTTTGCTAGTTGAATCACAGCTGAAGTCATAAGGCTCAATTCACACTATGGTCTATGACAGTTTTTGCCAGCGTAGACCCTAGAAGAAACCAGCCATAGCAGAATATTTGCAAGAGGGTGGCATCAAAGCATGTTCCGTGCACCAACTGTAGGAGTTCCAAGCAGCCCCCAAAATAGGCAGGGCTAGCCAGAGAAGGGGCCTGGCTCTATGACTGAACCGACTGGGCATATAACTGTCAGCAGATTTTAAGGCTAAGTCCACTCAGGTGGAAAACTCCGATGGAATTTGAAAGGAGCCAGGCTAGCACATGCAGCTGTAATGATCACCTCCCTATACCCGACAGAGTAAATTATTTAGCAGGAAAGGTTAAGGTATCAAACCTTTGGTGAGAGCTTAGCAAAGCCAAAGTTCCCAGCAAACTCTACTTCTCTGAAGTTACATAAGAGAAACCAGTGGAAATACATGATCAGAGCAGGCTACCAAGAAAGCAGCTTCATAAAAAAGAAAAAAAGTGACCTACCCTATGATATCGACCACTTGATGGAGCTCAGAGTCAATCATCATGAAAAAGGAAATTGGCTCCCACAGGTTATCACTGGCTATGATCCTCACCCGCTGCAGACTTCGTTTATCCAAGGTGTACCTTAAGAGCTTTTTTAAGAGAAAAAAGAAAAAAAAGTTGTGTCATACTGGCACAAATCCAGGTTTGCAACAGAAAGCGGTTTTGCTTGGTTACCAAATGAACTTTTTACAATTTAAAAAAAAAAAAATCTTCCTTTTACACCTCCATACAGAACAGTTATGTCAAGAGTATACTTAGCAAAAAGAATGTCAACCATAAGCTGGTGATCAAAAGAGACAACATGTTCTTCTATCATGTCAAGCCCCAAAGTTCAGTTAGTCCAAGATTGCACAGTACATAAGGGAGGTACGGAAAATGAAAAACATTTGATTCTCATTTTCTTACATACATGCAGAGTGTAGATAAAGTTCGACAAGGCAAAGGCAACTACATTTCATGACAGAATCCGTTTGCAGATCAGTAACTTACAAAATGTCAGTAGTTTGAGTGTGCAGTTACAAAGAATATAGACAGATAAGCATGGACAAGGCTGATCCAAAAGGTATACAACATTTCTGAACATAAAGCAAATATTTCATAATAAAACACAATGAAGAACAACTGCATCACCAGCGGACTCTTTCAGTTTAAAAACTGAAGCTACAGAACACAGATAAGGTTTACAGTCCACATTGGGGGTATGCAAGGAATTACTCTTATGGAAGTTTTTGTTTCAGAAACAAAGCAAGCTGCTATCAGATAATACTGTACTTGTTAAAGTCATATTTAGATGACTAAGGAGTAAGCACTTTCCAGGACATTCTGCTGTTTACATGATACACACGTATAACTTGCTGCCTTCAAAACTACTGTACCATTAACATCATATTACAGAACACAAAAACTCCAAATACGGAAAATCTGAGAGATGTTTCTCCTGCAACACTAATTCATCCACTTCGCATAGCATTTATTTTGTGGTACATATTAAACATCATGACAGGACTAAAGTTTGACAAGAAAAACAGGTACAGAAAATGCTACATGCAGAGGGCCAAAGACAGCTTAGTTACATCTTTGTAATGATCAGAATCTGAACCAGTATACCACAGGACAGAGCTAACAGCAGAGAATATCAGATTAAGATTTCCTGACTTTTCAGTTCTTATTTTCTCAGCCTTAATGTGATATTGCTTCTCATGCACATCACAAAACTAGCAAAGTAGAATGTTGAACACTAGAATCTCTTGAATTGGCTTCCTTCAAACTTAGAGTATTTTAGGTCTCAACAAAATGTAAATAAACCCAGATTGAACTGTCTAGCCTCTGTTCTTTTTGAGCTATGCAAACACGAAAATTCTGATTTACAGGAAAGGTTGCATGGTCCAGAAAGGAAAACAAGAGTTCATTAGCAGGAATTTCCAAAGTTCTACCCTAGCTCTGCCACTGATCCAGCATGTGATCTTGGGCAAGTCACTTCACTTCAGTCTGAGTTTCTCCAACTGTAGCAGGGATAGTAATAGCTGCCTACCTCACAGGAAGCAAGGCGGGAATTAGCTAGACATTATCTTCAGACTAGACATGGCCTTTGAGATCACTATTAAGAAGCTATTATCTTGGATATACTATCACCTCATACAAGCAGGAGTCAGTCAGGATATCAAACAAATCCCTTGTTTCCAGGAGGGCCATTCAATTATGGGTCATTCTCAAAGACTCTTGGTTCCCACTAAATTGCAAACTATATCTAATGAAAGACTATTGTCATCAACAAACCAAGTTACTATGATCATAGCTAAAATCCCTCCTCAACAGCAACTTTTTTCTCACTGATGACAAATCATACTATGATTATTGGGTGACTTGTGTCCTCTGAGAGAAGAACAGAACCTGAAGCATCATTATCTCCCCTACAGGACACCAAGGGTCATGAGGCATTGCCATTGACTTCTAAGGGACAGGCTTAATTGTGCATGGATTTCTAAAGAGCATGATCATCACAGACCATAATTTAGAATCATAAAATATCAGGGTTGGAAGGGACCTCAGTAGGTCATCTAGTCCAACCCCTGCTCAAAGCAGGGCCAATCCCGAACTAAACCATCCTAGCCAGGGCTCTGTCAAGCCTGACCTTAAAAACCTCTAAGGAAGAAAATTCTACCCCATCTCTAGGTAACCCATTCCAGTGCTTCACCACCCTCCTAGTGAAAAAGTTTTTCCTAATAACCAACCTAGACCTCCCCCACTGCAACTTGAGACCATTACTCCTTATTCTGTCATCTGGTACCACTGAGAACAGCCTAGATCCATTCCCTTTCAGGTAGTTGAAAGCAGCTATCAAATCCCCCCTCATTCTTCTCTTCTGCAGACTAAATAATCCCAGTTCCCTCAGCCTCTCCTCATAAGCCATGTGCTCCAGCCCCCTCATCATTTTTGTTGCCCTCCACTGGACTCTTTCCCATTTTTCCACATCCTTCTTGTAGTGTGGGGCTGGACACAGTACTGGACACAGTACTCCAGATGAGGCTTCACCAATGTCGAATAGAGAGAAATGATCAGGTCCCTCGATCCGCTGGCAATGCTCCTACTTAAACAGCCCAAAATGCCGTTAGCCTTCTTGGCAACAAGGGCACACTGTTGACTCATATCCAGCTTCTTGTCCACTGTAACCCCTCGGTCCTTTTCTGCAGAACTGCTGCCTAGCCACTCAGTCCCTAGGCTGTAGCAGTGCATGGGATTCTTCTGTCCTAAGTGCAGGACTCTGCACTTGTCCTTGTTGAACCTCATCAGATTTCTTTTGGCCCAATCTTCTAATTTGTCTAGGGCCCTCTGTATCCTATCCCTACCCTCCAGTATCTACCACTCCTCCCAGTTTAGAGCCATCTGCAAACTTGCTGAGGGTGCAATCCACACCATCCTCCAGATCATTAATGAAGATATTGAACAAAACCGGCCCCAGGACCGACCCTTGGGACACTCCACTTGATACTAGCTGCCAACTAGACATGGAGCCATTGATACCTGTTAAGCCCGACAATCTAGCCAGCTTTCTATCCACCTTATAGTCTATTTATCCAGCCTATAGTTCTTTAACTTGCTGGCAAGAATACTATAGAAGCCCATATCTAAAGCTTTTCTAAATTCAAGGAATAACACGTCCACTGCTTTTCCCCTCATTCACAGAGCCAGTTATCTCATCATATTTGAGCCAATGCTTTTTAAAAATCAGATTGGAGACAAGAAAAAGCTCTCACTTCCTGATATATATTCATGCTATCCAAAGGGCAACATTTAAAATTAACTCCTAATTACAAAAATACACAATTAAGTTTATCTAAGTTTCTTATACTCACTGTACGTACTTATAGAATAAGGATCAGAAGAGATATCCTAGAATGCCTTCAACATTTTATATTTGCTTTATTAGCATATGAAGCAGGAGCTCCCTGTTGAGTGAGTTTGCCCTTTGGAAACATGGCAAAAAATGTGAGCCTGAAACATGACACACACATTGTGGGAGACTGCTGAAAAAATAGTAAGTACATTTGATTTTTGTAAAAACGAGGAGTCCTTGTGGCATCTTAGAAACTAAAATTTATTTGGGCATAAGCTTTCGTGGGCTATAACCCACTTCATCAGATGCATGGAGTGGAAAATACAGTAGGCAGGTATAAATACACAGCACATGAAAAGATGGGAGTTGCCTTACCAAGTGGGGGGGGGGTCAGTGCTAACAAGAACATCTAAGGTGGCTGTGTAACAGGAATGGTCAGAGGAGATTACACAAGGTGAAAGATGGCTAAGGAATAATAAGAATTTTTGGGGACAGAAAAGGAAAGGACAGAATATAGAAATCCAGAGAATGAAGCAAATTTGGCTCGAGACTGGACATGGGGAGAGATGTAGAGATTAGCTGAAAGACAAGACACTAAGAGGACTATAGGACATAAAACTCACCGCTACTGGCACTCTTGTTGACAGTGTCAGACAGAGGCCAAAGATTTAATAAGCCTAAAACTGAACTACCCTCCATTATCCTCAATCAGTTAGGCCTATTGGTAGGTCATAGTCTAAAACTTGTGTTGTCTCTGCTTATCTTGTGGATATACAGAGGACTTCAGTTTTCAAATGTATTAATCCAGAAAGTTTCATAAACAAAGTCACATCTAAAAGTAAAAAATATCCTTTAAAGCACTGTGACTTGCAGATTTTGAAGTTTTACCTACACTATACAAGTTATAAGGACAAAAGTTTCCTATGTAACAACTAACTCCATGTAATATGTTGAATATTCTCAGGATTACATTTTTAAAGCACCATATCCCAGATAGTTAACATTCAGAAGCTCAACATGTCGGAAAGCTACTTTTGTTATAAAGTCTCCATTCTCAGGTAGCATGGTGCTGCACTATAGAAAGAGCACATATAACGGTTCAAGGGAGACTCCTTCCACTCACTTGAAGATTAGTTTATATAAGCTCTTTAAAGAATTTCTTGCAAAATCTTATGGACAGATAAAGTGGAGAGTAACTGGACTAAAAAACAGTAGTATGTGGGAATATTTCTTCCCCAAAAGAAGCTGCAATATTCCTGGGATTACACAGCAACAGAAGTCCAGCCTAGAAATACAAATAGCTGATAAGCAGCCAGTCCTAAAATATAAAAACTATCAGTAACTAGACCATCAGTGAGAAAGATCGTGACTCATTCAATAGCTTGGAACAGTATTATGGATGACCAGTGTTTACAGAACAGGTGACCTTCAATAAAACAGATTCACACAACTGTAGAATAACTTTCTGCCAGCGATTCCAAAGTAAATCTTCCTAAAATTCTGGGGAGTTTTCCTTTTCTGAACATAGGGAAGTAATTCAGTTAGAGTAACTAATCTAACTTCACATGCTAAAAACGGAGCATAATGAAACATTAAGCAATTCTAATCAAACTGATCTGCACTGTATCTAACTCAAGGTTTCAAACACACAGGATGATATTAGACCAAAAAGCAATAATACGTATCCAGTAAGAGTTTCAACAGGCAAGTGCACAACAGAGCGTCCATACACATGTCATGTATTTTCCAAGTGAT